ATGAGTGTGTGACAGTGTCGTTCCCCACTGCTTCCCATCAGCATACGATATATTTACGGTTGCCATCTCAGTCTAAGATAAGGATAAACTTCTCTAGCCCGATCAATCTCATCGCTAGGATGCTTCCTGACATTCGATTCCGTTCAGAATCGCAGTGGAGTATTGAATCTTATGTGGCTATTCGGTGAGATGTGGTAGGCAGCCGATGATCAAGTCAGTGCATTGGCCGTTCCAGCCCAGTCTGTTACCAATTCGCCGACTGTGAAGAAATGGAACGCTTGGTTGAAGACCTTGGCTGGTATCAATCCGGGATTCGATCCCCGGACCATGCGCGCTTGAAAGTGCTACTTTCCATTGCACCACCATCGATCGTGTACTTATTGTATTGATATTTTAAGTACATATAAATCTTAAATGCCTGAAACTTAGACATTCTGTTGGGTGAATTCTCTCTATCGCAGATTCCGGGCTTAGTAAGGCAGCATTCATGGTATTGAAGAACTGGTGAAGTGCCAATCGCTAGATGAGGAGACAAGGAAAGCAAAGCAACATCTACGGAAGTTTGAAATAGCTGTCTGGAGGAAATGGAGTTCAATCTTTTTTCTGCTGCTCTCAATTCATTATTTTATCTTTTTTACTCAATATCCGCCTAGGCCAATCTAGCCTTTCATCCCTCGGGCTGATTAATCGGTAAGGGACTCGTCTGGGAGGATGAAAGTACTGAGTTGTACATCGGCTGGCCACGCAATCCTTGTTAGGCCACATACGCATTCAATACGCCACCACGATTCTGAATGGAAGTCGAATNAATCATCCCCCAGATGGGTTGATTATTGCCTCAAAACTTTATCCTTTTTTGAACTTTTACTCGAATTTTCTATACAAATGGAACCACTGAGACGGGCCTCTGGTTAGGCTAACATTTTTTCTTCAGGTGCAAGTGCACTTGTGTTCAGCGAATTAGGAACCGTGTAGTTGTATAAATGATCGTATCAGAGAACAGTTAAGGAATATCTTCTCGCCCTTTGAAGGCAGGGGCGTTTGATGCCGATCATATCTTTTTGCTGTGTTATTGTGTTCTCAATGGACAACCCCTTGAACTTGTTCTATGTATTGTATCACTTAAGGGACCGTATCGCTTCTGCTTGCCTATTTTGCCTTTTAAGCTTCTTACGGCTCAGTCCCTTCTTTCGCAGAGTCCGTTTTCCTCTAACATACATTACCATTTTCATTCGGAGCTTAAGTAGATGCTGCCTTCCCCCTCTCTCAAGTCCTCAAATTCAGCGCACTTCTCTAGAGTGTCGCCTCTTAACCTTTTGTTGGGGAATCCCATCATGGGCTGACCCTCTGAAGTTCATCCCTCCTGATACCAAATGCTGTGAACCCGCCTTAAGATACAAGCTACTTTATCGTTCTCTTTTCACCAAAATAAGCGTGCCCTAATCGTTGCAAATTACCGCAACCCTTAATAACATCCTCCATACCGACTTGAGGGTCTTGGTTTACAATGGACTGTTGAACAGATTTTTCGAAGTTTTCTTTTGGAAAAAGTAAATTGGTTGAAAAGTAACATCACTACATCCCTAGAAACCAACGTGAGAACAGACGCTTTCATTGAGTTAATTATTTAGATATCTTCTCGAAATATCCAAAAGTACTGAATACTGCTTGTTATTAATTTCTTACTCTTAAGTACTTTCAAATGCTTCTTTCATCAAATAGATCCTGTAAAAATGAACCAAGTTTTGAACAACGTTAACGAATCCGCAAACTGTGCATACTCCCAGACAATTTCGGCTGTTACCATTTTAATGCAGGAACTTCGGATATTTAGGCGACTAGCTGATATTATCTGACTAGGGGACTTTAAGCCCTACTGAGCCTACCCTGACATTATAAGAAATCAATTATGTATATGAACTGAACGTTTTCGCCATCAAATAGTGAAATGTTCAGGATCTTAAATTCATTCGAAAATTTGAAGAGATCTTTTCACCATTCATTCGTGGCACATCTGCAGAAAGACCTACACGTTAGCAATCGGTTGCATTTGCTCTGAAGCTTTCGAAAAGGTACACTGAAAAAGGCTGAGGTGATCTCTGACGTTGCCACCGTCTTGAAACCTAACATTAAAAAGCACGTAAAGACCGCTGCTCCATGGTGAGGTTGTGGTAGAAGAACTGGCCAAGGTAAGCACCTAGGCCTAGCCAAAATTGGCTACCAAAGCCTGATGAGAATCTTTGTCAGCACCTTTGACATCTGCTCCGGTTCGTTCACTAAAAAAATCGTGGGCAATTTACAGAAACAATGCGTTCTGTATGGCCAATCTTGTTTTTAATAGTTGTCAACGCCGTCCTCGTTCTGTCAGCACCGACGGAGGAGTTCAAAGGAGCTCGTGACAGGTAAGATGAACTTAGAGAATATCTTCACTTTATACATAGCCTCTAGATGTAGTTTTCATGAGTGCATTTTCAGAGTGAAACGTCAATTCGGTTTCGGTTTCCCATTCGGTGGCATGGGTATGTTTGATCCGTTCATGATGGGTGGTGGGATGTTCGATCCTTTCATGATGGGCGGATGGGGCTGGGGCCGTTAGATTGGAAGATTTTCGTGAAGATCGTCGATGAAGATGTGGGACGAATTGGACTTTGTGTGCATATTCACTTGTATTCCTTGCTCTGTGATACTGTTAAACGACTCAGCCAGAAGATGTAATCGATGGCTTCCTTCTGTACAATCATTTTTTCTGCTATTACTCATCATTCTTAAATTTGAACACTTATTCTGCGTGTAGTTTCTTGTTATTGGATACTCTGAAAGAAATACAAAATACAACATGAATACAACTTTAACAGAATTGCAGGGTACCATTTCGAAAAAAAACCTGAACGACCGGCAAAAAAACGTATATAAGGTATGTAGAATAGAATGTAAAGCATAGAATATAAACGACTGCTGTATCAACATCATCTTAGGGATTGGAAATACATCGAATTTTCNATTACATAATTATAGACGTACACTTTACACTGAAGAATGAATCAAATTACAAGATGTAGGATCGAAAGATCGAAAGAAAAAAAAAGAAAACCAGTGGCAATCAATCCATTGAACATCAGGCGGTGACTCTCTTGAGTATAAAGAATGGCGAAAGAGACTCAACTAGACTCAACTCATCGTGGAGTCTAGTTAGTGGGCAACTAAGTAGTTACCATTATTTTAGGGAACTGTAATTACTTTTCCACAAAAGAAGGAAATATTTACTCGGTTGCATGTTGACCATAAGATACTCAGGTATCTGGTCTGTCAACATGAATCACTTTTAAAAACAGGTCGTCACATTCAACGTAAACGTTCGAAGTAATTAGAAAAATGCTCCGTGACTTAGTCATTATCCTAGTAGATGTGTGTAAAGACAGTAGGTTTGATAGCAAGCGTTAATTAATAGTTGATGTTGATTCGGAAAAAAGTTAACTAGCTTGATGATCGTGGTTCAAAGATAATACGGGCGACGGAAGTGTTTTGGAAACGACTGCTTCCAAAACATTTCCAACTCTTAGATCAGGAATCCCTGGACAGAGATTATAATGCCCATGTCAATACATTCTGTTCATTGGGCATATTTCTGGAAAGATATATCACCCCTTGTAAGCAGACAAATGGCCAAGTAATCCTCCATGGTTTTAGGTGAATTTTAGTCCTGTACCATAGCCTTGCGTGGATTTGAGAGCACTTTTTGCCCTTAATTTGAGCGCGACATGAGGTTGCCAATACCGGAAACAATTCTGAGTAATCAATCGGTCACATACCGCTACGTTCCACCTTGGGATGAAGGCGGTTCTGTTCGATCAGTAATAGAAATTAATTACATTAGGCATCCGCTAGAGTGAACAAGTACACGTTTATATGTACCTTTTTCCTAGAAAGCGAGCAGATGGAGGACATCCTACATACTTCTCTGTTCTATGATAACATTCCGCACTAACGCTCAATCGCCTGCATTTCTAATGAACTGTAAAAACAGTAAAATGAAATGGAAATGAACAGAAGTGAAGAATGGACAAGAGCAATTGATGGTAGTGAGGTGGTGGATTGAAGTAAAATCGGTACCTTAAAGGCACTGTTAACGACTAAATGGTTTCGAAGATATGCACATGGTTAGAATTCTGAGCCCCCTCTGATAACATTTGTGCAGGAATTAGGTCGGAAAACGGCTGGATAGGGCACAATAAGGCCAGGAACAGTGGGGGACGCGATGCCTCCGCCCCTCGTTAGGCTGACTACGTGTTCAAATTGTCATTCACCACGTTCGCACTGGAGCGAAGCTGGTGAAAAATCGATACGCAGATTGGCAAATAGCCAGGAATGATCAGCTGGTCGACCGGCTCGTACAGGAGCTAGTTTCAACTGTTATTTCTATTTTATGTTTGTATTTCTATTGTTTTTTTTTTGTTATGAATTTTTTACGGTAGCATTCTTTAACTATTCTCGTAAATTTATTGAAGATTTTAACATATTTNGTCACATACCGCTACGTTCCACCTTGGGATGAAGGCGGTTCTGTTCGATCAGTAATAGAAATTAATTACATTAGGCATCCGCTAGAGTGAACAAGTACACGTTTATATGTACCTTTTTCCTAGAAAGCGAGCAGATGGAGGACATCCTACATACTTCTCTGTACTTTGATAACATTCCGCACTAACGCTCAATCGCCTGCATTTCTAATGAACTGTAAAAACAGTAAAATGAAATGGAAATGAACAGGAGTGAAGAATGGACAAGAGCAATTGATGGTAGTGAGGTGGTGGATTGAAGTAAAATCGGTACCTTAAAGGTCGAGCTAAGATAGTCAAAGGCCTACATGGACGCTCATTAAGTTACGGAGGGCATTCTCATGAGTGCACCGTACACCCATTTACGAACTAGGATCAGAGTTGCATTTAAAGACATATGTGGGACCGTATTGAGCAAGAGAAACAATGGCAAGTTACTCAATAATTAGAACAAAACAAAACTGATCGCCTGCTGACAAGGGTTCCTACTGGCCTAAGGCCTAAAATCACGAGCTTCGCCTAACTGCTACGAGCACCTCGTCTTCTATACCCTCGTTCTTTCATACCTCTGTAGGCTCCAAGGGCGACAGCTTGCTGGAAGCAGAGGCAGACGTTGGCTACAAAGGAATTCATCCGTGTGCTACTTAACTTCATAAGTGACGGAGTGAGGTAAGTTGGGGTTCAGAGTGGACGCATTCTGTAGACACTTGCCGAGCTCTAGAGCTTCTTCACGATACTTTAATCGATCGGCTAACGATACGACAATCACTATGCCCTGTAAAGTCGATCGACGGAGGCAGACCTAGGGGCATATATTACTATAGTTTCGGTAAAGGTAGGAAGCACACTGTAGCGAGATGGAGCTCTGGTTCTAAAAGCTTAATCACCATCAACACCGGGCTCCGATCTGCGATGAGTCGTGGACATACAGCATCGAATTTCTCTTGAACGGACCTGGCTAAGATTTCACTTTTCTAATCAAAAGGGCAGAACTGAAGCCGCTTTACTTCTTGCTGATAAGAGACATAACTAGTGTGAAATGTGCAGCTGCTGATAACACTGGTCCCCTTCAGTCATTAACACTCCTTGACGCAATCTCCATTGTTAGGCCTCTTTATTCTTTTGTGAGATAGTACAGGTAAAGGTCTCGGCTTTGGCCAAAAGGAAGGCGAAAGATGACTGTACTATCCTGACCACTGCTCAACAATCATATCTAAGATCTTTTTTTACCTTAAAAATCAAATTCCTATTATAAACAATAACTTTGAGTGATCAGATTGTTCGTGTTCACAGGATAGCATAAAGCCATCTGAGTCCCTCCGCCAAAATGGGCTCAATCTATCGGTCGGAGGTGATGAGCCTCTGCCAGATTTTCCTTCAAACGGACTCTGCCTACCAGTGCGTGGCGGAATTGGGAGAGCTTGGCTTGGCACAATTCTTGGATGTGAGTACCAGGATTAACGCTTTACGTTCATCAAAAATTTACTTGTACTGTTGATAATGAATGATTCTCTATTGATTTTCGGAATGTTTCTTGCAGTTGAACGAGGAGCAGAATGCTTATCAAAAGAAATTCGTCAACGAGGTACGTCGTTGTGAAGAAATGGAGAGAAAATTGCGTAAGTCCAAGTATTATAGCTAAAGTCCAAGTATTGTACGGGGAAACGGTAATGGACGTCGGATTCAGGTTTCATCGAGGACGAAGTGCAAAAGGATGATGTGGAAATAGTGGATCACGATGAGCACATTCCAGCTCCTCAGCCAAAGAACATGGTAGAACTGGAGGTGATTCTTTACTGTCTTTTTACTGACTTTAGTGGCATTTTTTTGCAATCTTGAATTCTAAGCAGAGAAGGAAAAGGGAAAGGGTACTTGCAACATAAAGTTCCTGTAGTTGTCTTAAGAGAATTGATGTGGTGAAGAAGCTCATTGTTGCCTTTAGTTAGTTGTCTTTAATTTCGATTGTATGTAATCCTACAAGGTGATTTTCATAAATGCCTTTTAATTTCAGGCCAATTTTGAGAAACTGGAAGAGGAACTGATTTCGATCAATAAAAGCACGAAGCAGTTGAAGAAGAATCATGTACAACTACTTGAAATGAAAGCTGTGCTTGAGAAGGTCCAAAGCCTGTTGGATGAGGTGAGCACCTAGGAAGCCCAAACAACTCTTTTCAAGCCAAGTGCAAGAGTTGTAAAGCATTCAAAAACTTTCTTCGTCTGGGAATCCCGCACAACCTCTCTACTGTTCAGACAGCTTCTTTGGAAATCAATCCTCGAGATTGCAGGTCCATCTTCTCCCACTTCTTAGAGAGATGTTCAAAAAGCTTCTTTACTAAACTTCTTTCTGCCTTTGCGATTCGCCTGCCGATAACGTCCGAAGATCGAATCCCGGTCTTCGGACGTTATCAGTATGTTGAGGTTGCGTAGCGTGGCGTAACGAGCTACTTTGCACACTTGTGGGCCATAACACAATGATTAAGTATTGAAGTAGCACTCCCTCATAGCAACAATGGAAATGAGCCACTGAGTCATCCATCTGTTTCACATCTGAGGCATACAGGTGCACGACGACGATCTTACTTGGCCCTTACTCCAGAAACCGATGAAGTATAGTTGGTGGATTAAGGTCTACGTACCGTGCGTACGTAGGTGAATCACTCTGAACAAAACCAGACTCAACAGCGGCAATTTGCGTGAGTTGGAAATAGTGTGTACTGGAAACACTAAAGCACAGTTGTGCCACCTAAATAATTGTCAAAATAACCATAAACATTCCATAAAGAACCCAGAACTAGTGGTGCATTGAAGAAGATGTTTTCAGTCAAAGAGAGATGCTGCTATGTCGATTAGTGAAGCATCACGAGGTGAAGCTGGTCCATTTACTGTTGGCATCAAGATGGATTACGATAAGGAGCGCCGAGAAGAGACCGAGCTCAGGTTGGTGCAGTTTACAGGGAGCAGGACTGTGTGATAGCTGTGTTTTTTCGTAATATACGGCTTCAGTTACGAGTCCTGACCGCCAAAGCACAGCCCAGCAATATTGCTCCATTCAACTGTAAACAGAGTTATGGCCTATCGCTTGTGACGTGTATTGCAAGAGCAAAATCTTTTAAGTTGACCCCTCTTCAATGGGATGTTTTCGCAATTTCACATGACCCTGGGTGTGGAAGGAATCTTAGGAAGTGAGAACAAAGCACGGGGATTAAATGGATACCTGTCCATTTGTAAAAGGAAAAGGCAAATTGTTGATGGTGAATGTTATCAGGCCATTTGCCGGTAGTCCACCCAATTCATCCACTGACCCACTTGCTCAAGCCCATATACTCAGTCCTTCTTCCTTTTCTAGCAGCAAACCACAGACTAAGGCAATTACCATAATCCACCCGTTCATTTCAGATTTATCACCGGAGTGATCAGTCGCAGTAAAGTTATTTCATTTGAACGCTTCATTTGGCGATTCTGTCGTGGTAAAGTTTTTGTGCGAACTGTCGATATCACTGAACAAACGGAACTTTTCGATGTAAGTGCTTGGTGGTTCAAACTCATTTATTCTTGGCTTTATTCAATTTCCAGCATGACAAATCTGATGACAAGGCAGTGTTCATACTGTTTTTCTCTGGAGACCAACTGCGCACAAGGGTACAGAAAATCTGTGCAGGGTAATTTTACAACTTGTGTGGGATAGTCGAACTTCTATTGCTAGAATATTCAATCCAGATTCCACGCTGTCATATACAACTGTCCTGAAAATCGCGTCGAACGAGCGCATCTTCTTGCCCAGATTAATGGGCAGGTAAGCTGGTGGTTCAGCTCTGGGAAAGAAAAAGCTGTTTACCCGAGATTTGCAAATTTTCTGATTTGAGGTTGGCGACATGCAAAGTGTTATCAGCAAGACGTTAGAGTATCGTCATAAAATCATCTTCGCAGCAGCATTAAGTGTGAAAAAGTGGTCAATTATGGTCAGTTACTCATTAACAACTGTTTTTTTCTCTTACTGCTTCGCTTCAATCGCTTCCGTTTCTTAGCTGCTGAAATTGAAATCCATTTTTCACACTCTCAATATGTTTGCCGTCGACGTCACCTACAAGTGTCTGATCGCTGAGTGTTGGATACCCACTGTAGACCTCCCACTTGTGAAAGCAGCACTTCGCAAAGGAACAGTAAGTTTTTCCGTATCAGCTAGTGACATCTTTTCAAATCTAGTTCAGTTCTCATGAGCAGATAATTGCCCCAAAACCAACATACTGTTCGTTCCAGGAACAAGCTGGATCAACCGTACACGCTGTGCTAAACGAGATGGAAACACACAAAGTACCTCCTACACATTTTAAACTAAACAAATTCACTCAAGGATTCCAAAATATCGTTGACGCCTATGGTATCGCCAACTATCGAGAGGTTAACCCTGGTTAGTGGATGGAAGTGTTCTCGGGTTTCGGGATCAATTGAGTAGAATGACGACTTTCTCAAGCTCAAACAGATTTCCACAAACTTGACGGATGGTTGTTTGCTTGACAAAAGCAGGGCTCATCTCCAAAGCATTCTTGAAATGTCTGTTCTCTATGATCCTACCTGGCTCTTACGACTTCGAATTCTATTTAGCTCCTTGGTCAATCATCTCCTTCCCTTTCTTGTTTGCTGTTATGTTTGGTGACTCTGGACATGGCATCATCATGTTACTGGCAGCTCTAGCCTTCGTTATATTTGAGAAGAAGCTGATTGCAATGAAAATCAAAGATGAGGTCAGTTTGCTGGAGTATCTGTTGGAGTATGAGGAATGACCCAGGGCATTAGAACAGCTGTGACGTATAGACTTCTCCCAAATTGAATCAGTGACTTTCCCGATTCCTGCGTGGAATCGCGACAACACGGAATCGTTCAAGTCCTATGGTCGAATAACGAATCCTTTTGAAGATCTTTAATACCTTCTTCGGTGGCCGATATGTTATTCTTCTCATGGGAATATTTTCCGTCTACACTGGCTTGCTCTACAACGACATCTACTCTAAATCTATAAACATATTCAGTTCATCATGGAAGAACCCGTATCCGTGAGTTCAAAAAGGTTTTACTCGATTATATGCAAGGCACCTAGATCAACGATGAGTTGAGGCTCGAATAGACGAAGCGTTTAAGTGCCGAGATTTATTGGTAGTAGTTGTCGCTCATTAGGGCATAAAACTACCAGAAATGAGCCTAGGCATTTCAGGCAGTCACTGTTAGCGCATATGGAAGAGGAAGGTCACAACAACAGTCAAACACTAGATCTAACATTCCCACCGGAGTACGCTTTCGATTCAAACTTGGTGAGTGAAAGCATATTCTTTCCTTGTTCAAATATATACCCATCCTCCGTTGTTGCCACACAGAATATCATTTCTGTCTAGGGGCCGTATCCGTTCGGTGTCGATCCGGTCTGGAACATTGCCAAAAACAAACTGAACTTCTTGAATCCGATGAAGATGAAGACCTCCATTATTGTCGGTATATCTCAGATGGCTTTTGGACTACTTCTTTCGCTTTGCAATCACATGTGAGTTTTCATTTCTTGGCTATTAAGGGCTAAGGCTATCACACAACAGGGAGACTCGCCTCTACATTTCTGAGATAATCATTTAATGAAAAGCTGCTGCTCGGCTCTGGAATTCAACGAAAAAATGAAAATTTCAAAAATCACAGACCTAATAGCGAGTGCACGGAAATCCATGCATGATAGTAAACTGCGCGGATAATACCACATGAAGTTATGAAAAAGGGCTGAGATTCTTCCCAACACCATTTCTGGGGGTAGCCGTGCAGCTTGGAGCTGCATGTAGCACAAATATTTAGATAGGACAGAGGGAAAAGTGGGTGAAGGGAGGAAAGTTGAAAGGAGCCGACTGAAAATGAAATACCTTGTCTTTCCAGTCACAATCGCTCGGTGGTGGACGTATTGTTCGTTTTCGTACCTCAAGTATTCTTCCTCTTCTGCATCTTTGTATATTTATGTGTGATGGTGAGTCAAAAAGAAACATGAATAGCCGGTAGCCGGCATATAAGAGCGAAATCGCTTTTTGGACCGTTCCCCATTGTCTCCATCTTCAAGTTTTTCATGTCACATTATTGCAGGTGGTCATGAAATGGATATTTTTCTATGTGAAGCCAGCCTTTATATTCGGTCGTCTATATCCTGGATCATACTGTGCACCATCATTACTTATAGGGTTGATCAATATGTTTATGCTTAAAGCTAGAGATGTAAGTTGTCAATTAGCAATGGCTTGAGATCCAGTGGAGTAATCGTAGTAACATCGTAGAGGAGCGTTGAACAATCCTTAAGATGGAATTTTTCACTTTCTCGCGACCGTAAACGCCTTAACATCCCGAAAATACAACTTATTCTCGAAAAGGCACGGATTAGGCCCTGGAAAAGGCAGATTGTGTCAGAGTGGGAGCTTGAACGTTTAGGATTTGTCAAAAGTAGTGGTAGCCCCTATTCTCGGTATATCTTTAGTGAAACAAAGTTGTCAAACAAAGTCAAGAGCTGCTCTAGAGCTTGGGGCTGATAGGTGCTCCAGTTCGGGTGCCGTTTTCTTGCTGAGAATACACCAGCTACACCTATCCTACTGAACTGAAGCACAATTATTATACCTAATCCACACCAAAGAAATGAAATATTCAAAAAGATCACTTACATACTTAAGAAACTATTATTAACTTACCTTTTCGTATCTAAATGTACGTGGTTGTATACAAGAACTTTCAGCCAGGCTTTGTTCAACACATAGGTAGCGCCAACGCTACTGATAAAGTGACCATAGATGGAAAGAATTACACGTACGACATGTACGATCAGTGCTATCTACAGCAGTGGTATCCCAATCAGGTGAGAAACTTCAGTAATAGAACGGGTTCCATTTGGTATTCCTTATTCTATGACCACCCCTCAAAGTGAAACGATCCACTAGCGCTGTTTCAATCCCTTTTGCATATCACTTCAGGTACTCGTCGAAGAGATTCTACTCCTTCTCGCTGTAGTTTCCATACCAGTTATGCTATTCGTCAAGCCGTTCTACGTCAGATCTTTGGCCAAGCGTGGTCTTCCCATACCTGGCGGTCATGGTCATGGTGGTGATGAAAGTGAAGAGGTCATTTTATCCATAGAACTCCGGGGTCATTTGTAGTAGGAGGTTGTTGAGAACATGAATTTCACTTGGATAGTTTCAGTTCAGTTTCGGCGATGTCATGGTTTACCAGGCAATTCACACGATTGAATTCGCACTTGGATGCATCTCCCATACAGCATCCTACCTTCGACTTTGGGCTCTTTCACTGGCTCATGCACGTATGTAGGATTCATTTTTGCTTTTAGATATACAGTATATAAGTGTTTTATTGTACATGAAATCCTTTGCAGAGCTCTCAGAAGTCCTTTGGGACATGTTGCTGGCTATTGGCCTTGACATGGGTGGATGGGCTGGATCGGCTGCAATCTTCATCCTCTACTTCTTCTTCGGAGTGTTGTCCATTTCCATTCTGATTCTTATGGAAGGCCTTTCTGCATTTCTTCATGCACTTCGTCTGCACTGGTAAGAAACTTTCCGATTTGGCTCTTATTTGTTCCCCCATCAGTCATTAGTAGCTGATCCTCTGCTGTCCAAAAGGAGACCGTGGCAATGAACACGAGTTTACGCTTTTAGAATTGCTTAAGTCGTTCTTCTGTCTCTTCGAAAAAATGCTCTTCGATTCTGCACTCAGAAGAAGGCAGTCCGTCTTCTATATTTACATTTAAGGGTCGAGTTCAATTCCAAGTTCTATGGTGGTACTGGACACGCATTCGAACCGTTCCACTTCACGCGACTTATTCGTGTGGCTGAAGGTTTGGAGCAGTAGGAAAGGATGAAGAACTGTAAACAACAACGTTCTACGATTCCTCATGCAACTGTTAGATTATATCATCATAAATTTGCTAGAACCATATTTCGAGTTGTGTAATGCAGCGAGCAGTGAAAGTAACGAGCATGGTTCCCGCCGATCGTCCTTTCAGCAGGTCCTTTTGCAGTCGCGCCGACAAATATTTGAGCAGAGAATCGACAAAATTTTTGATGATGTTCCTGCAAAACATACGTAAAGGATAAGGTGGGACTACAATAGGGGGCTCGGCTGATTTACCTCGAATCAAGGCTGTAACCTCTTCCCGGATCATCCTTCAGGTCAAAAATCCACCTTGTTTTTTATGGCATTCAGGGGTCTTCCGAAAACATCTGATTTACAGTTTTCAGATAAATAAGATAAAAGAGCGAACCAACAACCAATGTTTTGTCAAATTATGAGTTGTATTCTACAGACTATTGTGCGCCCCACCTTTCCCACCCACCTACCCCCTCTGCCCACTTTGACTAGATCTGGCACGGTACCAGGACCATGTACAGCATTATAATACCAGACATTTGTCCCAATTTGTCGACTTCGCTATTTGAACATCAGAAACATATACGGACAATATTCATCAAAAAATTCACACTATTACAGCGGCATTGATAGAATCATCTGAAAAAGGCACAATAGACCTGTCATGGGCCCGAGAACTATGGCGGTTTATATTAAGGCCAGCTCGCTATTAAGCTCGCTATAAAATGGGAATAAATGCTGACAAATGACACAGCGGTCCTCTCTACAACAGTCAACAAACTAAACAAATTCAACTGAGGGGATCTCATATGAGGAGGTTGACAATACAGATCAAGCTTGAAGCCTCAGCACAAGGCATGTTCGTGCTGGCGCATAGACACATAGATGATTCCGGCGGCCATTATAGCCTTCGGGGAAGGTGTGGTGTTCAGAGCCGAGCTGTAAGCGATTATGACCGCCGAATCTCTCTTCGTCACTGTTCAGGACCATTTTGTAGCTGGAAAATTATAAAATATACCGTACTCCTCTCACCACTGGCACTCAGAAATTGTATACGTGAATAAGTAAAATGAATATCCAAACGGGCTAACTTAACAGCCACAAAACTAGCATTTCTCTTAGTAGCACAGCCCCGTTTCTCCATCTGACACTGGGCTCGAAGGTTTTGTATAATACTAATTGTAAGAGAGCTGGGTCTTAATGAGATAAGCCGCTCTACTACACCTTTTTGTCTCTCACTTCAGGACAGGGTCTAGTGACTTGTTGTCTTTGCTGAAGAGATGGGAGCACTGACCAAGCCGACACGTAAACCGCTGATCAAGTCCTTTCCCCCTCGAAATCTTTAAGATAGTAACTGATCCTTACAGCTACTGGATAAATCACTCGGTAGTAGGCTTACTCGGGATCGCGAAAGAACACCAAAAAATTTATCCGCGACCTCGCAAAAATTGTGCATGTCGAATACTTACAAGAGAACCCTATCAAAGAGAATGGGAAGCAAAAGTCTATATATCCGACACGGAATGCTCCACAATTGGAAGAGAATTTTCGGCACCCCCTAATCTTCACTACGCTCAGACCCTTCTCCCACTCGATATTTCGCTTACCTTTCAACAAAGTGTGGACTATAACATCGATTTAAATGCCACAGGTAAACAATGAATGTTCTTAATGGGCACACCCTTGAGGTGTAATTGAATAAATAAAATAAATGAACTGTGAGACTCACATTCCAGGCACTTCCACACCAACTTTGTAATCGGTAAAACTCTTGGACGTATGGAAGTTGAAAATGAACAGCACATTGGCCCGTTCAAAGCAGATCATCTTGTCCTCATCGTGTTTGCATGATACATATGCCTGGACATTGATTGAATGTTATTGTCAAATCTTACTTCGGAAGAAAAAACGGAGCAATGGTCGGAATGGAATACTTACGGGTAACGCACGAAGAAAACCTGTAGCCTGTTCAAGTGCATTCATCTCTCGATCCCATTCATTCAACCACTTATATCTGTAATAATGAACATATTAAAAATATTGAACGCCATGATAAAAAATCAGAGGGAAAGAACCTCAAGAGGTCATCATCTGCTAAGTTGAACTGCCTCCTAGCGTAATGGAAGGACTCGTTGTTACCTTGGCGTGGGAAATCCAGCCACTCTGGATGGCCAAACTCGTTACCTCAATTTTGGGTATCGTAGTCCCGCAGTTATGGTCATTTTAATAGGCAGCAAATAAAACATGGAGATGCTTTACCTATAAAGTTCAGCCAAGCCTCTCCTCCAAGCGCCATTGTCAAAAGACGAATCATCTTATGCAATGCAATGCCACGTTCGATTATCGGAGTTAAAGGCGTTATTGTGGACATGAAGTCGTACATTTCTTGAAATAGCGAGGCAGTAATTGAAAAAAATATCATCAATTTTATTTTGGAAATCCCTTCATGACATGGCGCTCTCTCACCTTTGTCCATTAGCCAAAACGCGATCGTCTTGTCTCCAACAAGTGCCTGATCGTGAGATTCTGCATAAGCGATATTCTTCTCACCATATCTGAACATCCTTCACGAGATGAAGAGCTTTGTGATAGAAAGCTGTCGGTAAAAGAGGACAACTCCATGAATGTGGATCGCGTTTTGATGTCACACTGAATCCCTCCTGGCCCAATCCCACCTGTAGGAAAATCTGAAATGAAAAGAGTAACACACCGTCGATTTTCGAGAGTGAACACGATGTCTCCAATACGCCAGTCTTCGTCCTTCATATGCTTCAGAATTTTGATCCACATATCGGGCAGCGCCATCGCTAACCGGTAATCGAAACCTTGCCCACCCTCAGCAACGGGGCGGCAAAGGGCTGGCATTCCGGAGACTTCCTGAAATATCAGCGATACCCGTGATGACCGCAGGAGGCAATGAAGACAAATGAAACAAAAAAACGACTCCACGGTATCAAACCTCGGCGACGGTGATTATTTCTGGATACTTCTTGTGCAGGAAGTCATTCGAAAGCATTAGATAAACTAGAGAATCTGTATCTGCATTCAAACCGAAATACATCGGGTATCCACCAGCAAAATCGTCATCTGCAAAGCAGGCCTACCACACAAAATATGGTTCTTCACATCTTATTCCATAAATTCAACAGAACGAATGAGTTCCAACTCTGCAGTGAAGCGTACTACTACACGGAGCAACCGTTTCGCATTCACCCAAGTTCTACAGCTGGATTTTCTCGGATTTTTATTTACGAAAGAGCATTTCCGACAGAATCTATTCTACTGGGAGAGTGCAAAGCATTGCTTTCGAGTAATGTTATTTGAATCAATGAAAGGCTGCTGCTGATGTGAGACCTTCGTGTAGACTCATTCCAGAAACGGGGTCAACGACAGAGTTTGGGTGTGGGAGGAAAAGGGAGAGGAATAACTTTGTATGCGCATTTACTAGAGGTGAAAATTCTGACTCCTACGATTACTTCGGTGGATGTAAGCTATCTATGAGAAAGCTTCCCTACCAGTGACCCTGAGACAGTGACTTAGGCGTAATTGGTCAGTATGTTGGAGCAGTATTGAACTGGCGCCATGAAACGAATCTAGGACGACGGGGAACCTTGTCACCACAAATCTCTACATTCCACTGATCTTTTAACGTCCACCTCTCCTCCGTCCACTGCGAAATGTGGTTGACAATATTTGTTCACTCATTTTCTTCAATGATGAACTGAACGGTTCTTATAGACTCACTCATTCCATGCGAGTGGTAGATCATCGAGGTGACTCCGTCGAAACGGAAGCCATCGAAACCGTATTCTTCTACCCACCAGCGGAGATTGGACATCAGGAAACGCAGGGTTTCAATCCTGAAAAGGAAGATGAGCGTGAGAGATTGGCAAAGAATTAAAGAGAATTGACGGAAAAAAGACATTCCTGTGAGAAATGGGCTTACCTACCACGAACATGCACAAGCACAATTAGTAAGGAACTGACGACTACCAGGAAGCAGAAATAAGAGGGACAGGTCACTCGAAAAAAGAAAAATTATTTATGGCTTACTGAGTGTAATCGAACAATCTCGAATCCCAAAGTGTATGTGTTCCTCGGGGACCACTGTGGAAGTAACAGCTATCCGTACCGTCCCACTGATTGAGGCCATCAGCCACGTTCTTTGATGCGTGAGAATGAACCTAAGTCGATAAATTGATGGTATATGGAGATGCATAAAAGCATTGCCTCTGATCAAAAAGGAAAAAGAAGAAATGGGGATAGAAGTAGAAAGTTCTGCCAATTAACCCTTGAACTTGTACCAGGCACTCAATTCCCATTCAAAGCAGTAGAGATGCTAGATGGCGGTGCATTGGATTGCCTGTAATCTTGAGAAAACAACAAGATTGAAAAAATTCTCATTCCATGAAGATTTGATTCTGATTCGAATTTGAGTGATAGGCGCATTGCAGAGTCCCAGAGGAGAAGTGATCAAAATCAGAGAACGTTAAGCTCAGTAGTGACTGATTCTGGGGCAAATATAGCGAAATCAGCTCTCAGCTAACCGAGACAGGAGAAAATTTCGAGTGTAGTCTAAGGTTTTTCGTTTTCAATTGAAACGCACCACATCAAGAAGCATTGTAAGATTCATTGAATGTGCCTTATCGACCAGGTATTTGACATCGTCAGGCGGCCCACAGCGGCTGCAACAGATACAGTGAGTATGTTGAATATGTTATTTTCTTATTTATTAGCATGTTCATGTCTGAATAGGCTGACCTGGCTGGGGCGAAGAAGCTGGTGACCTGATAACCAAAGGATGCATAGTAAACGTGCTCCATCACAGCCATCAATTGAATGGTGTTGTAACCTGAGTATAAAATCGAACTCAGGCTTTATCAACGACCACATTTAGCGACACCACTGTGATGCTTTGTAAACTCTAATTGTTGGGGGAAATATGATTGAAGGGTAGATAAAGCTTGTTTAAGAAGTTCCTCTGACCTTGCCTGACAATCCGTGGAAGGACGTCGTCGGCAAATGCTCGATAACTGTTCACTTTCCCCTCAGGGCTGCTGATACCTACATGGGCCTCATAGATGCGCAGCGATTCCGGCCGTTTTGGTCGTGGATGTATGAACTTGTACTTGTTGGGAGGATTGTAGAACTGCTGTAAACGAAGAAAGTCACGTGTGAGATGCCTGAAAGGGAGGAATCCAGGAAGAGGCATAAGCGGTATGTGCATGTCTCTCCCTGGACTGCGACCAATGTAAGATCCCTTTAGATGCGTACAAAATCATACCCGAACCGAAGTATAATGAGTAGAAAAAAAGGCAGAGCAATGATTTTTGCTTCATAATGAACTTTCAGGAGAAAATGTAGTTGGGGGGTGGGGNGGGGAGGAAGAGGAGGGGGGGGGGGCACCTATCACAATGTCAGATAACAAGGATTGAACTCGATGAAAGTGTTGCGCCGTGTCACATCAGGGACATGCCAGTTTCTTACTAAGTCTTAGGAGGGAAGGAGCACCGCGCTGGGCGAGTTTTATTTCTTTTTTTTTCATTTTGCACGAGGTAATCATCCCACCCACTTAGTTGCTCCTATCCTACTTAAGCTTGGTTAAAAGACTACATTTGCTCGGCTAAAACCGCATCAAAGACACCACAGATGACCGGTGTCAATCCTACATTTCTTCTCCGATATACTGCTATATAACACGGACTAACACTTTAGACTAAGTTCATTTCTTGTTATGGCAACCTTTGGATGGGTGACCTCTCCTCCCCGAACTACATTTTCACCATTTTCAGAGAAGTCTACGGGATTTTTCGCTGCACAATGCAAAGGTGAAGAGTCCTGTTGAAGTACCTTACCTGGTGATAAACTACAGTATCCTTGGGCCGGGTCACATAAGCGGCCCATGGACTGAGTTTGTCCACCGTATGGCCATTTTTTGTGACGGCAATCTGCAATTGACTTTTTTCAATATTGGGCAAAGGTAAAATCGCAGGATATTCAATTTTTCTCATTATCAGAGTTCGGTACTATGCCACCACCAGTTCTGTTGGAACTGCCTCACATCTGTGATTCAAATGTAGCTGAGGATGGAAAAGAAGTCAAACACATGTACTGAAAAGGAGTTCTCGATACGAATTGATTCACTATGTTCCTTTCCAACAACCCCGTCTTGAGATTTCTTCTCTCTATTCGCCATTAATGTGTCGCACCCTATCAGCGGTTTTCCCATCTCTTTCCCGTACGGCTTTTCATTGCTCTGCTTACTATCCCCTCTGCAGCGACGGCAGGGTTGATGGCTCTCAGAAAGAGATCACATCAAGCCGGCAAATCTACACATAACTACTCGATTATCGATTAAAATAGTGGAACTATCCTAGAAATTCCTTCGTAGAAAAACCGAATAATTACGAGCCAGTGGTAAAGAATTGCAGCGCGCTCGTTAGTTAATCGCTAGCGATCGACTACCATCGAATAGAGGGCATTCCGTTGCAACCTTTGAGTTCTGGCCCATGCGGAGAGCATCGTTTGAAAGTAGAAAGGAAACTTGAAAGAAGTAGAAAAACTACCTACTTTGACGATTGAACCATGTGGGATTGCGCACGAACCATCAGGATTCGGTGGAACGATTAGACGCCATTTACCGTGCTCTTCACGGTTATACTTATGCGTTTCACGATTCCAGCCGTCTTAAACGTCAAAAATTTTTCAGGGGATATTATATCGTTCAAAATGGTTCTGCCAAAAACATCGCAACAGTCAACATTTTTCCGGAATACTTTGGAAATTTTCATCACTCGCCTCTCCCTTCCTGGCTTGTTCAAGCCAACAATCGCCAAAAAGCCCCCCCCCCTCTCCTAAATTCCATACTTACCTCTTGACAAGATCAAATCCGGTTAGCTCGCTGCTAGAAACTACTGAAGCATATATGAAGGGAGGCCGATGATGACCTTAGACCTGGTCAGCCGGCTAGCAATCATAAAATTTCTAAGTTATACTTCCACGAACACTTCCGTGGTAATTGAGAGAGATCTGGACTGATTTAACTTTCTTTCCGAAATCCTCATAACCTACAATGAATGGAAGTAACAATCTATCGTTACTATTCGGTTTTCATGAACGCGGCAACAATGTAGAAATAGTAGCCCTCCCAACTCACTGAAATCGCCGATCAGAGCCAGTTGATCGGCTCCAGGTGCCCATTCGTGGCAGAGAACTGAGTTGTCCGGCTGTACCAGTAGACCAAACTCTTTGTAGCCCTGGGTGAAACGCTCAATTCCTCCGCACTACAAAAATCAAAGTGTTAAATGAATCAAAAACTTTCCAGAGAGACTTCCACTTGGAGAGGGCTTCCATGAAATTGATAGTTGTAACTACTGAGAAGGAAAAAACCCAAATTAAACCGTGGACCGGTGAGTAATCAAAATTTGCACTAGTACTGAATATAAACAATTTAGAAAAGGAAGAATAAACAGCCAAGTTCTGACCTCCTCAATCTTCTTCTGGTACTCCAGAAAAACCCCATACCGCCGGCAAATTTCATGCTGAAAATCGCCCAGCCAACCGTCTAACTTGAGAAGATTATCAAGTTGAGGAGGACGAGCCATGTCTGAATTGCTGAGTTGAATCGATTAATAGAAAGAAAATACTAAGCATGATCGGACAGCCTTTGGAGGGAGGGCAAAATATCAGAAAAGAACAATGCGAAAACCAATGACATGCTTCTAAAGTGAACCAAGCAAAAGGAAAGAAACAGAATATAGAACATTTATAGACACAAAGGTCGCTATATTTTCCCATTTGTGCGGCTAGTGTTTTCATTAAACGAAGCCCCACTAACTGAAGAGACTCAGTGCAGAAAGAACACAAGCAAGCTCAAACCAGCGGTCGATCGATCTGTTTTAATACATAATTTTAGCTGGAAATAGAGTAATAGAAAGCGGCACACTGCCCCACACACACACGATCAGGATTCGAATCCCGGAGCGATATCCGCCTGGGTCAACTAAGCCTTCCACGCCTCCAGTGTCGGTTTATTGGCTGGGAGGATAAAAGAACTGACTGGTACATCGGCTGACCACCACAACTAATTGTAGAGGCCATATACGCATTCAATACGAGGCTGTAATTCTGAATAGAAGTCGAACGCGTGGGCGTGGGAATGCGAGGGTGCATCCCTCAGACGGGATTGATGACGCCTTAAGGCTTTTTCCTTCTGTTTTTAGCTGAGACGGAGGTGATTCAGTGGTCAGGAGAACACTATCACTTATGCCATTGTCTGACCAGGGAGGAGTAGTCTACTTATCTTGGAACTTTGAATTCAGACCCAGATAGATCGATAGGGTTTTGAATGCTGTTTACGAAAATGGAAATTAAA